CTTCAAGAACCCAAGAGAGATAATAAATGAAGCTATAGTGCTAGTTCTGATGTCAGGCAGACAGCCCTTAGCTGTGTCACTGCATAAATGACTTAAAATGTAATCATATTATAGGAAGTTATAAACAGATGGCTCATTAACTCTGTGGCTGGGGAGTTCAGCTACTGAATGTCAAGAGAAATGACCTTATCAAAGAAATGCAAGCTTTTCTCTGCAAAAGTACTCTCACAATTAGGAATGTGTATTATGAAGACACAAAAGTAAAATGTCTAAAATTGTACCACCATTATTGCCATTGTATTATACAGGTATCTAAGCATATGCATGACTGCAATGCCTCTATCTCCTATCTTGCTTATGAATTGTTATAAAGCAGTTATTTTGAATACTGTGAATATAATGTGCATATTGTAAATATTTAAGATTAACTTAAATATTTAACTCCCTTGCTTGGCTGTGAAATTATTGTGTGTGGAATTTAGTCATTCTCTTGAAATGTGGGTTGTTTTTGGCTTTCCACACCAACATCCTTTGAATACCAAGATGTATCATAAGCAGAATGTTATAGCACTATGTGTATCAAACAGCTAGCCAGGGTCAAAACCTTGCCATATTTTGTTGACCCTTGGTACTTCTATAGTTGTTTCATGCTGTGACTTTTTGCATCATTAAGTGTTGGAAGTCATGGCTCCTTGGACTTCCCCTTGAATTCCTGGTAGCTCTGAAAGGTTCCCACACTGCCCAAGCTGAGCTCTCTCAGAGTAACAGCAGCCAGAACAAGGACCAGGCTTCACAGGGCGCTGGTGGCTGGTGCAAGTCCTTTCTTGGGAACCTCCCTAGGCTCTGTTCATCTAAGGATCTAGCCAAGGCAGTCCCCATTACCAGGACTCTGACAGTCTTGTATGTACATCTCCTTAGTAATAAAATTAAACAAATGGGTAAATTAATAATCCATCACAAATTGCATTATTTTTGTCAGTACAACTCACATTTGCATTTGACCTACTTTAGTATGTCATACGCCTATAAAACGTCAGCTACAAATTGTCATGGAAACTTAAGTTTTCTGTAATTTAAAACGATTGTGAGCCAACATGCTTAGGAAAGGCTCAGACTGGTGAATGTGTTGGTATGTGCTAATAATCTTATTTTTGTTTATCCATCGTTTTAAAAGTCCCAAAAGCAAATCTTATTCGTGGAGAAGTGGTTTCAAAGTGAGTGTGCTACTCTTTAGCCTGGAACACCTGTAGTGTCCACTTGAGCTCTGTAGTTCTGTCTGGGCTGTGGCATCTCTGCTGCTGGACCTCCCACAAGAACCCAGGGAGCCAGGCACACAGCCAGTGTATCCAGTGTTCCTTCCACAGTAGTGACTGGCGTCCGAGATGTGACTATGCCCTAGAAAGCATCCATTCGATAGTCACTTGAAATATTACCAAAGAAGAAATTTTCAGGCCTAAAGTGACTGTGAATGAACAAGTCATGCTTTAGAATCTGGGAAACAGCAATTCCATGTTTATAACAGAGGAGAAGAGCCTATGAGGAAGTTCCTTTTATCATTTTTACACAGAATAGACATTAAGTGGAGAGCTATGGTGGGGAGATGACCCATAAATGGAGAAAAGACTCTGGATAATCTAAGTCTCTCTCCAGAGATCTACCTGGGAAGAAGGTCTTCAAAACATTAGATTTTGTCTGAATAAGAGAATGAGTTGGGAGGAAGACAGCCACAGATCTCAATACCACAGCAAGAGTTCAGAAATGAGATCTGCAGTGTGAGGTGGTAGAAAGGGAAGTTAGTTTAGAAAGATTGAGAAACCTCAATGTTAAATTCTACCAACTATAGTGGAAAGGAGGATACTATTGTTATGTGGCTGAAGAGTTCTTGAACATAGACATACATGTTTATATTCTTGAAATACACATTCCCTGTTTTGGGTGGGTAATGAAGGTATAATACCAAGAGCAAAACAAACAAAACAGAGTATCAAATAGAACAGTGTGTAGGAACTAAAGTGCAGAATGGAACAAAGCTAGATAGGAATCAGCGTAATGCTGCCAAAGGGAGAAACAAGGAATACACGGGTGACTGTTCCTGAAGTGGCCTGCAGCTCTAGGCCGGGGACCCACTCAGTGCCAAGCACACAGCAGCCAGTTGAGCCGCTACAACGCCTCACCTCAACCCAACAGAAGAATTGTTCTTTCTGTGGAGAAGCATTTTTAGAATGAAAATACAGGACCACATGTGTAAGCAAACGCACTGAAGTGACCATGCTAGACTGAATGAAAGATTTGGGTCACTATAAATCTGTAATCACTAGGAAGTCTGAAGCCTTGAAGGCGAGAGAGGTATCTTTATATGTTATTGCCAAACTTATCAATGAAGTTTTCCTTAACTCTTTCTGGGACACACATTCATATATATCTCCACTTTGGATCAATACAAATCGATAGATCATCCTTCTATCGATTTTTCATATATCTGACTATGAAATAATTATATATTCTCTTTTTGTATGCAAAACTTTATTAAACTTGTTTCCGATTCAAGGTATTTTGTATGGACTGTTTAAGAATGAATGAAAATTAAAAGGTCATTTTCTCCCATGCACAGATTTCTAATCAAGGTAGTTTCTTCTTATATTCATAATCCATCCTAATATTTTCTTAAGAGCAGATACTTAATTCGAATGGAAACCAAAGCACTAGACTGCTGCTACAGTCAGTGAAGATGTGAAATCCTGAAATTCTCAGCTATCATGGCTTGAGGTATAATGTGTGTGTGGAGGAGACCTTGTAAATAAAATATCAGAATTTAAAAACAACAGTATCCTATATGTTAGTAGGGGAAAGATATGAGAAAACAAACTGTACAGAGACAAGCGCATTTTTATAATTATGAACTTTATTTTTTATTTACTAAGCCAACACGTTCAGGAAAGAGACTTTACATCTGATTTCCATAGTTCCTTTTCACAGGCAAATTCTAATATACATTATGTACTCTGAACTGGATTGTAAAATCAATGGGGAAAACGACATTGCAGATACTGTTTCTGGTTTTAGTCATGACTAAGTTCTCAAGGCCAGCATTACTCATCATGGCAATGCACTACCAAGAAGAAAGCAGGTAGCTTTTACTCAACAGTGAAGACACAATCTTTAATCAATTACATAATTATAGAAACCTCGTAATCATCTATCCAAATGTATCCTCTCAAATTTCTGCAGCAGAAACTTAAAGGGACCTGTGAAAGGAGCAACAGAAAATAGAACTCAAGTATCAGAATCAAAAAAAAAAAAAAAAAAAAAAAAAACAAAAAAAAATTACCAAAAACAAAAAACAGCAAGGCCATCATCTCTAAGGAAAACTGCATGTAGGTATATTACGGCGATACTTCATTTTCAAAATGTGCTTAAGCATGCAAACGTAACTACCCAAGCTAACTCAGCAACACAGAAGCTACAGTGTGAATGGAGGGTGTGGAAATGGTGCTGCAGTCTTACTGGCCTTCACGACAAGCTCATTTGACCCCAAAGTGCATCACAGGAAGCTGATCCAACTACTCTGGTGGCAAACAGGAGCACCTGTGTCTGGAACACCATCTACATCATGGGACCTTTCAGAAATGACAGTTACTGGAAACAAGATGTCTTTGATACATTGAGTAAAATACTTAAAGGGACAATGGACATTCAAAGAAAACTTAGTGCTATTATGGGTAAAGTGGCATGCTGGGATACAGTTCAGTGAAAGGCTGTACAGTTTCCTTCAAACAGCAACATTTACAGGGAAATTCAGCTCACTAAACAAAGCCACACCCACAGGAGGCAATTTGATATTTCAGGCACAACTACAAGCAATTAAGCTCATTTAAAGTGCGTATCTGATATTTTCTTTCATACTCAGGTTTTTACTTACTAAAATGCTTAGTAAGTTCCCTAACATCTATATAAATACAACAAACAGTAGTTGATATGCCTGAATATACTGCACAAAAGAAAAATGAGACTCCAAAAGAAAAACAACAGGTAGACGGTCTGTGATTAGAAATCATCTATGATCCTTTGTTGGATACCTTGGAATCACCTGGACCTATGTCAATAAACATTTTAGCCAAGCTTCCTTTGAACAAAATCAGGGCAACATAGCAGAACTCTAGCTCAAAAACTAATCATTTGAAATGCATCCTGTTAGAAGCCAAATGAACAATTCTGTATATTATTTTCTTTTCATACATACAAAAATTACCCAACTCACCCTTGGTCCCTGGAATTCCCCCACTCCCACTACCTTCACTGACAGAACAGAGAACAAAGTGAGTGAGCTATGTTTCTGTGGAAGACAGTTGGCAGAGTGTTGGCTTACAGATGCAATCAAAAGATCAAGCCAAATGTGTAAAGAGACCTCAGCTTATTCAGCAGGGCTGTGCCCTCATCTCCACTTCTCAGTATTACTAGGAGCAGACAAGATATTCTTGCAGCTTTTACAGAAAACTGCAGGCAAATATTCTATGCTGTTTGTGAATGCATCCTAGAGAGTTTTTCTAGGTAGTGTATTTGAAGCATACATTATGTTTAAAAGTATACTGATGAGGGCTGGGGACGGAGTTCACTTGGTCGAGTGCTTGCCTAGCACATATGAAGTACTGGATTCAACCTCCAGTGCCACATAAAACCAGGTGCAGTGGTGCACTCCTGTAATCCCAGCCCTCTGGAGATGGAGGCAGTGAGTTAGAGGCCAACCTCGGATATGTGAGGCTCTTGTCTCAAGAAAAAAAAAAAGAAAAAAACCTACCTATCATCTATCAAGACTGAAGCCCAACAAAGGTACAGGGGGTAAACTTCTGCAAATTCATCAGGGAGAAAAAAATTAAAGGCCAAAGATTAGGATAAACAAATTACTGGAGTCAACATTTTTATCTAATAGCGATGAAGATATTTCCCTCAGACAAGAGGTTTATAAATAAATTTAAAAAATTAAACTTTCCCCTAAGTATAAGGCCAACTTGCAAAAGTATTTCACAAAAGTCTATACAAATATCTAATTAAAAAAAAAACCATACATTAGTATGCTCTATCGAAGGGACTAGGGTATGATTGTAGCCAATAGGCAATGCATGAGCTTAGTTTTCATTCTCCATGGGGGAAAGCACATGTGCTCACAGCTGCAGCCAACCTGGCTCACTTTCATGAACGAAGAGGTGCTTTTGCCCACAGCGCGGTGATGCAATAGCATCTGGCCTATGTTCAGGATGTCCTGAGCTTCTGTTCTCTGACTAAAGTGCTATGATGTGAGACTATGCTCACCCATTCCCAAACCCGAGAAAGGCCAGCATCTCCAAATAGCAAATTCACTTGAGGGGTTGTGACATGAAAGGGAAGACTGCCCCTAAATGCCAGCAAATGTGACTTTGAAGCTTTCCACTAATGCATTTGATACCATGCGTCTCTTTGTAACCTTCTTACATTTAAAAAGGAAGCCCTAGCAGTTTAACTGTTTTGGCCATAATTCCTTTTGATACTTTTCTTTTATGGTCAGCTAACCAGATACTGATCCTGTAAGATTATTTGTCTGAAAAATCTTAATTTGAATGAAATGAACTAGATGGCCAGCCTAAAGATGGCATGATTTGGGTAAACATAAGGCAAATTTACTTAACTGCTTGAGAAATGGTCTGCCGCATGGTTGGGTTCCTGTACCTGGAGGCCTCCCAGCTACCATCTGCAGCATCTCTTATGAAAGTAGTTTCCTACCTACGATTTCATTTTTCCCCAAATCTACTTTTCAAGAAACAGTCATTCAAAGTAGAAAAGGGAAACTCAGGAAACCCAGAAAAGCGACTTATTATAATAGTCTTAAATTTATATTTTCTTAAAGTGTTTTTTTAACTCACTTTTATAGAAAATAAGCTCTAAATTTCTTATATTGCATCAAAATTTTGTGCAAATATTTCAAGTCCATTATTCCAGTCTACAGATATTCCAAATAAATACAAACATCATAATAAAGACTTAATTTTAAATTTTCAATGCATGTTGTGGAAACCTAAAGTAATATGATGGATCCATAAGTTAATAGGGTTTAAATTATCAGCAAAACTCTAGCACCAACAGAGGTTACAACTAATATATCCTTAGGCATCCCAAGCTCTCCAAATTTACCTAATAGCAATATAAGCAAAGAGTACATGTGTGCATGAAACAAGGTGTAGTAACAACATACTTTTGGTAATGAAAACTGTTAGCCTGGGGAATTTATCTGATAAATGGAGAAACAGTAGAACTATATTATTGATCCTAGAGAGATAAAACCTATAAGGACTCCCCCACTGAAAGCCTGGTCTTTAATCATTGTGGAGATTTTGCATAGACCTCATAAATATACAGAACACTAGCCAGAACCCTGCTTATGGGCAATCATCTTCCATCATCACTATGAATCTTTAGTTAAAATAGCAACCATATTCACAGTAGGAATAAGCAGAGGGGTGGGGTTTTGATAACCACAGTTATGGACCACAACAGGACTAAATTAGCAAAGTACGTATGTTGCCTGATAAATGGAATACTTTGACTTTTCTGGTGTGCAGAGAGAGGGCTGAATAGTATGACTTGGGCCTCTGAGATGGATAAGTAAACTTGTGTTTACCTGAGACAAGAATGTGCAAATGGTATATAGTTCAACTATGATAGAAAATGGAAGAGCCAAACTAGTAGAAGCTTTTGTGTTTTAATTTTAAGATTTGCTGTAATGGAACCTCCAATATAGTAATAAACTGCACATAAAGCTATTACAGAGCAGATTGTTTTCAAAAGACAAAGTGGCAGGTGATGGCTATGCACTTAATTTATCTTTGGTTTAGGAAGACGAGAATATCGATTAGAGGCCACATAATCCCCAGAATGCAAATTGCTAAGTGAATTCTGCAGTTCTTTTGATCGTGCTAATGGCCTTGGGATGCTTGTCTTGGCTTGGAAATTTTGAGGCTCTGGTTGGGGATTGCTTATTTGTTTTTGTTTGAAAGAGCCAGAAGGGGGACGGAGTTTAGATACTTTCAGATTCAAATTATTTGCAAGATTGTTTTGATTAGACGTTGGCTGATGTTTTGAATTACATGGTGTGATTACTGGTGCCTTCTTAGATGTGGAAGTCCTACTTGGTGATGAATCAGAATCTGGGGGATGTGCCACAGAACTCAAGATGGATGGCTTTGAAGGCTGCAAGGACTTGGGCTGAGGAGACTGGCTTCTTCTAACCTTCTTAGTCTGGTTCACTGTACTTGACTTGGAAGGTGTCTGAGGAGGAGTAGTTACAAACTCCATGTCACTAGGTTGATTCTTTGCCAAATGATGAGGCTCTTGAGCATTCATAGTCATGCTCAGGTTTGTTTCTGAAGGTACGTCCTTCACCACATCCATTGGGAACTGTGGGCTTGATGAAAAAGGACAGTCTTTCAAACCATAGCTATTTTCTTGTTGCAAGCCATGTGTAAAGCTTCCATCTGGGTGTGCATCACTCTGACACATGCCTTGGACTGTGTTTTCACTGTGGGCCTCTATATGTTGTGGCTTTATTAGTTTTCCCTGGGCGTGGTCTGTAGGTCTGGGAAGGCTGCTGGAAGGCTGTAGTACTTGAGGCTGTTAAAATTAAAAAAAAAAAAAATTACCAACAATTTATATTAGAAATTTATCCAGAATGAATGAAAGTTCAATTTCAATTAGGCAAATTGCCACTTATTATACTTTAATATGGATAATATGTGTTTTTTTAAGTAAAGAATGAATTGCAGGATCCAAGCATACTCATGACACACATTAAAATGCTAATGCAAACAAAGTGATACAGGCAGCAAACACTGAACAAGATCCAAAATTAAATGGGACAAAAGAAAACCTTTAAGTATTTAATGAAAAAAAATCTTTGCATCATTTGATTTATTACTTTCAACCTTATCTATAAGGAATACAGAGAAAAATTTCATTAGCACTTTGAATTAATTTCCTTAAGTGCCCCTCACATTTAATGGTAACCTTTAGGATACTGGCCACTTTAGTTTCTGCACATCATTGTTTTGCCTGCATGGACATAGGCTCATCACATGTCCTTGGTGCCCTTGGAGGCTAGAATAGGAGTTCCCCTGTTACTGAAGTTACAGATGGTTGTAAGGTGTGTGTCTTGTGGTTGCTGTGAACTGAACCCTGGTATGTAGCTGCAAGAACATTCAGAGCTCTTAACCACTGAGTCATTTCTCCAGCTATTATGCATTTTAAATGTTGCCAAATGCTATATATCTCTTTTTCCAAGAGATACACAATACTTAGAAAAAGCTGTAACATTAGTTTATATGAAATTCTAATGATTTACAAAGTGTCCAATATACTTAGCCCAGTATGTGCAAAGCACTAAATTCAACCCTTAGAGCCCCCAGCAACCACCCAACAGTCTTTTCAGTGGCAACTAAGAGAGCATAAACATGCAATCAACTGGAACTAGAACCAAAGCACAGCAGCCAAGTTCTCAAGGCCTAGCAGCCTTGGGTACCTTCAACAACCTACTGTTATGCTACCTATACAAATTCCAGAGAACATGTGACTTCCATTATTTTGGGTTATCCAGTAAAAAAGGTACAAACAGATACAAAGGTAACAAATCAGTAACCATCAATTTCTTCTCCCACATACATACTTTCTATTTAACAATTTAGGCTAAAACAGAGTAGAGGCTACCTTAAATGCCCTCCCCTGATAATGAGATTGATGACTGACTTATATGCCATCCTATAGCCCTCAACCAGCAGCTGGTGGACGTAGAAGCAGACACCCACAACTAATCACCGAACTGAACTGGAATCCAGATGCAGAGCAGGATGAGTGAAGAGCAAAGGGGTCCATACCAGGCTGGTGAAACCCACAGAAACAGCTGACCTGAACATTGGGGAACTCTTGCTCCCCTGAGTGATAGCTGGGATACCAACATGGGACTGATCCAGACTCCAGGAACATGGGTTTCAGTGAGGATACCTCGGAAATCTACAGGACCTCCTGTAGTAGTTCAGTACTTATCCCTAGCATAGGTGTAGACTTTGGGAGCCTATTCCACATAGAGGAATACTCCCTGAGCCAAGACAGAAGGGGGTGGGCCTATGACCCATCCCAAAGGATACAATAGACTCTAATGACACCCTATGGGAGGCCTCGCCATCCAGGGGGATAAGAAAGGATATGTGATAGGTAGGGTTTTAGTTGGGGGAGGGGTGGCGGTAGGGGAGGACAGGAGGGAGAAGGGAACTGGGATTGTCATGTAAAACAATCTTGTTTTTAATTCAAATAAGAAAAATCTGTAAAAAAAAAAAACAATTTAGACTAAAATGTCAAAAACTCTGGGTTTGATTTTAACAGATCATTTTTCACTAATAAAAATATTTTTAAACTATGCTAATCCACAAGGAAACCTTCATAGCGTCTCTCACATCTCCTGCTTCAGGGAAGAACTTATGTAACTTCATCATTGTGTTCTTTTACTCCTCGACCAGCAGTAGAAGAGGCTTCCCAGGGTCAGAAGTGAGAGACTGAAGTGGCATGGCTGGGAGTGATTGAGAACAGGATTCACCACTCAGGAGGAATAGCTGAGGGCCTTCCAGTACTTTAAAAGGGGGAGGGGGTGCATAAGATAGCATGCCAGTCAACATTCCAGCATGGAGGAAGGAAGGGCCAGCAAGTTGCAACTCCTGAGGAGCTATGCACAGCTGATGGCTTTGGAAGAGGTGTTCAAGTACTCTTTAAGGGCATTTCCCTTGACAGGTTAATGAAGCTCCAGTGGAAGACCCTACACCAAGGAGAACATGGGCAACACAAACTCGACTTAGTAAGTTATTATATTTTTAGTCTTTAAAAAGAATACAATGAGCCGAGCGGTGGTAGCGCACGCCTTTAATTCCAGTACTCGGGAGGCAGAGGCAGGTGGATCTCTGTGAGTTCGGGACCAGCCTGGTCTACAAAACCTAGTTCCAGGACAGCCTCCAAAGCCACAGAGAAACACTGTCTCGAAAAACAAAAAACAAAACAAAACAAAAAAAAGAATACAATGTTGGAATGGGGTGGAGAAGTGAGGGTAGATCTGGGAGGGGTTACTGGAAGGACTGAGGGGGTGAGAAAGATCAAACCACACTGTATGCATACAATAGAGTTCTTAAAGAACAAAAACATTATATTTTAAAAGGCAGATTAAACTGCACAGCAAATGAATGTTAACATGAACTCTAACTGTAGAATGTTTAAAATAAAGGTAGCCCAATTGCTGCCTAAATCGAACTATCCGGATTTCAAAGACAGTGGGTATTTTTCAATCTATTACCATGGAGATTCGCAAATTGTCCTTCAAAATGAAACGTACTAAAATATCACTGGTAATTAATTTAGTAGATTCTCCTGAAGGTTTCCTAGTGAGCATGTAAAAGCAATCACACATGTCAAAAAGACATAATAGAAACATCAAGCAGGGAAGTCAAAATCTACTAAAGGTGGGGGCCTGGAGCAGAGCAGCACTAATGGCCAAGTGGCATGGCACTTGTTCTCTCTTTCCACCTCCAGACAGAGTAGTTTCCTCATACCAATTTAGAAGATCTTAAAGCAATTTAAGAACTGAAAATAGCAGTGACAATTTTAAAAGATGAAAATTTTTTTATAGCATGTTTATTGCCCTAGGAATAAAAAGGGTGCTACTGGCCCGCAAATGTATTTTTTTCTCATTAAGACAAGGTAATCAGAGCACCAACCTTCCAGAAAAGGCCCACTTTGACCTGACCATGACACAGCCACATGCACTACTAATTATTCACATTCCCCACTTCTCTTGGAGAAACATATGGAAACACAGCAGAATCAAAAAGATGTGCTGTATGTGTTCAACATAACAAAGCTCCATTTACAAGACTGACAATTAGGAAGTGACAGTTTCTAAGAATATATCATGCTGAGTCTTTTATCTGAGGAAATAAGACTATATAGTTAAACAAAAGTCTAAATTATCATCTGTGGTAGTTTGAATGCAATTGACCCCATAATCTCATAGGGAGTGCACTACTAGGTGTGGCTTTGCTGGAGTGGGTACAACCCTGTTGGAGGAAGTGTGTCACTGTGAGGGTGGGCTTTGGGGTCCCTTTAGCTCAAGCTTCCCTCAGTATGACTTTCAGTTGACTTCCTGTTGCTTGCAAGATGTAGTCGCACTCTCAGCTCCATTACCACATCTTTCTACATGCCATCATGTTCCCTGTCACCTCTGAACTGTAAGTGAGCCACCCCAATTAAAAGAGTTGCTGTGGTTATGGTGTCTCTTTACAGCAATAAAAACTCTTAAGACAGAAGTTGGTACCAGGGACTGGGGTATTGCTATGATAGGCCTGACCATGTTTTTGTTTGGAATAATATAGACTTTGTGTTAGGAAAGCAGTAGAATACCCTTTTTCTTTTTCTTTTTTTTGTTTTTTCTTTTTTGATTTTTGTTTTTTTGAGACAGGGTTTCTCTGTGACTTTGGAGGCTGTCCCGGAAGTAGCTCTGTAGATCAGGTCGGTCTCGAACTCACAGAGATCCGACTGCCTCTGCCTCCTGAGTGCTGGGATTAAAGGCGTGAGCCACCACCGCCCGGCCCAGTAGAACGCTTTAAGAATTACTTAATGGGCCACACTAGAAGGAATATGGAAGTCAGTGGTGCTAAGAGTTATTTGAACTGTTGGGGGCTCACTCAAGAAGTTCCAGAAGAGAATTTTATTATGCTGCCTAAATATTCTTCTTGTGATATTTTGGTGAAGAAGGTGGCTGCTTTTTGCCCTGGTCCAAAAGAGTCTGCCTGAGGCTAAAATGAAGAATTTCCAGATGAATTCCATTGGCAGAAGACACAGCCTAACAGAGACTGTTGTGTGGATATTAGGGGTAACTCCATTGCAGATTTATAATGAAAGGAGCAAGCTGAGCAGGGTAAACTAGAAAATATATATTTTGAGTAGAAAAAGAGCACCAGAAAGTGAAATGGAGCTAAATCTTGTATTCAAGGAGATAAATGGATTAAGAAATGGAATAAAGGGAGTGATGACTTTGGTGCAAGATCCCACCCACTCAGTTAAGTTTCCAACTTGTGAAAGGGAATTAATGAAGTTTAGAGTTTGCCCGGCTGGTCTTGCTTTAGTCCAGTATTTCCTTGGTATGCTCCCTTCCCTGCATTTTAAAATAGTAATATATGTTGTAAGTATACAACCTGCTTTTTAATTTGATTTTACAGGGGATTACAGTTATCAGATTCCATGAATCTCAGAAGAGACTTTGAACTTTGGATTTTAAAACATTGTTGAGACAGTGATAAACTATGGGGACTTCTGAAGTTGGACTAAATGCATTTTGCATCATGATACTGTTTATAAGCCAGGGAGTAGAATGTGATAGCCTGAATATAATTGGCTCCATAATTTCATAGGGAGTGACACTATTAGGCGGTGTGGCTTTATTAGAGTGGGTATGGCCTTTGTTGGAGGAAGTGTGTATGGGGGGGGGGGCTCTGAGATTTCCTATGCTTGGGATACCAACCAGTGAGCCACTCCACTTCCTGTTGCCTCCTAGTCAAGATGTAGAACTCTCAACTCCAGCA